AAAATTCTTATACTTGCCAATATTTCTTTTTCAAAAAGTATACAGTTTTCCAGAAATATTAAATGAACGAAAAGAATCACAGTGAAGTTACTTTTCAATGTTTATATTATTATTTCTTATACACTCTTTATCTAACTTGTTCTCTTTTAATCTATTTCTTTTAATTATCGAATTTTAAAAAAAAAAGTCTCGCGAGAATTATTTGATCTCTTTATATTTCTCGAAAACAATTAGCAACCATTGCCTCTCAGAGTTCACAGTCACCATTTCTTGTACGATCTCGTATTTCACGCATCATCTAATTACATTCGAGAAAGTTTCACGCTGGAAAATGTAATGTGCGAGGTGGAGAAGTCTCGATTCAAATTTCTTCTGCGTTAAATCCCCCTCAATTCACTACGATGGGATAACCAAGATTGTGCAAGGGTAAATCGGACGGTTTTGCAACTCATCCATTCGATTTCTCCTCGATCGTTTGAAAGCTCAGATACCGCAGAATTGGATAATTACTTCTCTAACCACCGGTTACAGAAATTGAACAAAGAAATTATTACCTATTGTTGGTCACCTGAAGGTTTAAAGTTGTTACATAAACGAAAGAAATCTCGTAAACGAGAACAAAGTTTGTTGAATTTCATATCGTTCGTGGAATACATTGCTTGATTAAGTTCGACTGTTTCTTTAGAAAAAAAAAAAAAAAAATAAATAAATAAATAAAAAAAAAGAAGAAAAAAAATGCGATGAACGAATGCGATTGTGCGTATAACATAACAAGTTGTACATTTTTATGCAAATATTTACGCGAGAAGATGACAATGTTTGATTAATAACATATTCGTGATTAAATAATGATAATTTTATTAATGGAATTTATTTAATCAATTATATTGTTGAAAACAACTATCTGTTATTTCAAATAATTCTTATTTAAGTAAATTTATTATTTAAATAAGAAAGATTTAATAATAAGACATTAGGATATTAAAAACGTAAAACGTAATTAATTCTGATATTAAATTAGAAATTATAGGTTAGAACTAATCGATGTTATAACGAGTCAAAAATTAAATTTGTATACATTTCAAATAAAATTTCATTGGCGTGGCGACCAAGATCTGATGAAGTATATAGTATAAATAAAGGAATATTAGAAAAATCTCAAGAGTTATTTCTCACAAATGGATATTATTTTAAAAATAAATATTTATTTCCAATTACTTTCATTCTCGAATAAATCTATCCCCTTCGTGTCGCGTCGTTAAAAACGTAATCCTACATTATCGATCCACTTGATGCATTTCAATGTACTCTTTACTTTAATCGTACACATAATTCTTTATAAAAATGTGAATGAGGCATAGATTCTAAACAACGAGAAGAAAAATTCATGCGCACGTACGTCCATTAACTTTTATTTAACGAATTATAAATAATTTAAGCTCACGTTGTTGCGAGGAAGCGAGATGGAAATAGAGTACATACGGCGGCGTAACAGGGACAGAGCGATCAACGTAAAGCGCTCGCAACTCGTTAATCAAGCCTTATCGGACGTATGCGTACACGAACTTTTTTCATCGTTTCAATGATTAGATTCTATCCTCGAAAAGGATATTTTTATTAAACACTTTGTATAGTTAGGTAAAGGGTCACATAATTCCCTTGCAATCCAATCTTGAACAGACCGCAAAATCTTCTCGATCGACTCGAATGGACTGGTTATATAATTTAATAGAATCGATTTCTGCTATCTCCTTTTAATCGATTCCGCAACAGAAATACGTTCCTGTCACTTTCTATGCACCGACCGTAGCAATTAGTCGATGCAATCATCCACGGGTACCCGTTTCAAACTTCGTGCCTCGATATATTATAGTCGCGATAAGGACTTGTTGACCGGAAGAACGCGTGATATCGTTCAGGTGTTCCACTTTCCGGTCATTTCCTTCCTCCTTCATCGTCACGTACTCAGGCTTCTCTCTCTCTCTCTCTCGCTCTCTCTCTCTCTCTCTCTC